AGGGCGGGCGTCAGGGTGGTACCTTTGTTGTCCAGTGGTCCATTATGCTCCTGCTCCTGCTCATCCCCAGAAGGAATCTCTGCCCGGATGCTCTCTTGAAGGTGGCTGATGTCCTGCTCTACGGAGGAGGCCTGGCACACCATGGTCTCTGACACCTCAGAGGTCACAGGTGTGCAAGAGTCTGTTTCTGGAGATGCACTGCTGTCTCCATTTGGGGAGGTCAGGAAACTAGCTTCCTGCTTCAAAGTGTGCACACGGCAGTCATTAGCATTACGCAGGTCCTCTTTCAGCCTCAATGTTTCATTGTTACTGTTTTCAGTGTAATTAACGACTCCAATTACTCCATTGCAATTAATTTCTGTGTCACCACCCTCTACAGCACACTCCGTGAGGGTCTGATCCTGACCACTGGAACTTGAGTCTTCTAAGGAACAAACAGAAAAGGATGCGTGTGTGTACGTGCTGGTCAACAACAGATACTTCTCACAAGTTTACAACATTTCTAGCTTTTACTGAGTGACATAAAAACAAGACTAACAACCCTCTGACACCTACTGATGGAAGGACAAAGATCTCATCCTTACCCAGTAGCTACAAAGTCTATCTCCACCTCTGGAGGAGAAAGCAACAAGTTACACTTTACTATCACCTGCCTAGCATCATGGTAAGATCTGAATTCTTACAGGACACCCCCAGAGATGAGCTGCATACATGAAACCACACATTACATAACAGAGATAAACAGATGCTCAGGTATGCCATGAAGCCATGGTTGCAACGCTCTATTTATACCAAGTTTCTCTTGGGTCATTTTATTAGGTGGGTTCTCTGTCAAGGGTGTTTCAACAGGACTCTCTGATTCTTCTTGCTTGTTAGGTCTTTTTTGCCCGGGGCCCGACTCTTTCTCCATTTCCTCAATTTCCTGCATTCGCTTCTCTAGTAACTCTGCCTGGCGCTTCTGCTTCTTCTTCAATTTCTTCTTCTTATTCTTTGACATTTTGTCAGCCTGGGCGGAGATTACAAACAGATAAAGCCTTCAGGTGGCTAATCCATTACCCCTGGTTGGAGACAACTGATAACTTTAATTATTTCCTAATTAAATTCCACTCTTTCCCTAGTATTCCATTAATGCAAATCTGCAGAACTGTTATGAAACTTAACGAAATGACACTAACAGGTCTCCATCTTCTGTATAGTCTGGAGGCTGGGTCACCTCTATTCACAGAAGCCTCACCAGTATACAAACTTGCTGACGGTGTGATCAGATTTATTGGAGAAAATCATGGAAGCGCAGGAAATGGTCCTTTTCTTTGATTTTCACTCTAAATAAACCACTACCATCCATAATATGCCCGTGCCCAGTACCCAGAAGTTAAACACAGGAGTGCTGCATGCTTATACTTACTGGTTTAGGCTGTGGAGCAGTACTGACTGTAAAAAAAGAGAGAAAACACAGGTTTGCCAGAGTCTCATCCTCTCACACAGCCTACTTTCTCCAAGTGACAATGCAGGAAACTACATTATTTTTAAGAAAAACAATACATAGAAAGTGGCCAAACTTTTATTCAAGTAGTTTCTTAAAGTAGTTTTATTAGACAGGGTTACTTTGTAACAAATAGCTCTGCCTATTCTGAAACTCACTCTGTAGACCAGGCTGGCCTCCAACTCAGATATCTGCCTTCCTCTGCCTCTGTTAGGATTGAGGGCCTACACCACAACCATCTGGCTTAAAGAAGTGTTTTAGAGACAGGGCCTCTCGGTGTGCTGAAATTAAAGGCACGTGCCATCCTGCTCAGACTGTAAAATACTCTCTCCATCACCAGTACCCATCTATCCAGAGCCAAGTTCCTATTTAATCCCACAAGCGATGCTGCTCAGAACAGCACTTCTGCTGTCCATGCGTAAGCACCCAGGGTTCCCACCCTTCATGTTTTCCTTTTGCACTTTGTCTTTTATTAAAGCACAAAAAAGTATAGCCATAGTGTATAGCCATAGTGTTGCCATACATGTGCTCAAATTTCACCTTTCTACAAATTCCAGTCACCAGGCTTGCATGGCAAATGCCTTTACCTGATGGGTCATGCTGGATCACTTGTGAGTTTTAAAGGCGGACATCAAGAGCTAAGTAACCACCACAGGGAATATTACAGTTAACAGCACAGCTTTGGTGTGGTGTGGTGTTTCATTTTCCTTCCAAAAGTATTTACAGTTGTGGTTTAAAGGCATGATAGAAAATTCATTTTCTTTTCATCTTAGAAACTGAACCCTACCCATCAACTTTCATCTCATTGGGTATTCTTGAAAATAAGTCCTTAATAACTGGTGTTTCAATGTGTCTAGAAACATCATCAAATACAATTAAACTACTAAAATTAAACCTGCACCTCAAATGGAAAAATCACCACAATCGTTACTCACTGAGCACAGCATTGTGGGGGCTCTAACAACTGCTTCAATGGGAAATTTAAAACCCACAATTCCTGTTTAAGGGAAAATGAAACCAAGTGACTCAGTCAGGGTCTCCTCATCAATGAAAACAAACTAGCAGTTCTCCCTGGCAATGTCAGTAACTGAGCATGTGTGAGCACCAAGAGGCAAATACATAAAAACAGCCACCCAAGGAGCAACCAGGGACACACACACTGCTACAATCTAGGCAAGGAGGAGCCGAGGCAGAAGGATCAGGAGTTCAAATTTTTCCTTAGCTATTGTATAACAAGACTTCTAAAATTGGGGTCGGGAACATGGTTTGGCAGGTAAAGACACTTGCTACTGAGCCCAAAAACCTGGATCTGACCCCAGGACCCACATGGTGGAGAGAACTGACTCCAGCAAGCTGACCTCACATTAACATGCACAAAAGCTACCCCTACAAAGTAAAGAAATCCCATACAAACGTAAAACCCACCAAATAAAAACACTTCAAAACAACAATGTAAGTCAGCTATTTTACTACATAGCATATTTTTATCTAAAAACAACCCCTCACTCTCCCCCATCTGGAAGAAATACTTATGTCTTTTGAAAGTATCTTATCAGCAAGTGAGCAGCATTCTGTGTTGGGACCAAATAAAAACAGACTCCTACAGTTTTGATGAGCCAAGCTCCCGCCGAGTGTGCGTACCTGCAGACCCAGAAGGAGGTGGGGCTCCTGATCGCTGCCATTCTGTGGCTTCTGCAGCCAGTCTCCGAATGTACTGGTCATTCACTGACAACAAGATGTTTTCTGGTTTGATGTCAGTGTGGATGATCCGGCACTTGGTGTGCAAATAATCCAGACCCTGTAGCACCTGGTTGGGAATAAAACAGAAGGTACATAAATACAATCCAAAGTTTCCTGGGGGCGGGACTGGGGTGAGATGGAAGTGGCCGGCGGCTCTTCCAGAGGACACAGGTTAAAGTCCCAGCAGGCACAAGGTAGCTCACAGCCACTCCAGTTCCTGGGCATGCAGTGCCCTCTTCTGGTCTCTGCCTACACCAGGCACCCATGAGGCACACAGACAGTAGGCAAAACACCCACAAAAAGCACAATGCCCAGGTTTTACGTGTAGAATCAGGGATCCAAACAGTATGTGTGCTGCACTCACATGGAAGGCTCTTTCCAAGTGAGTCAGTTCCCCAGCCCTAGTCCTTGATTCTAAACTAAGAATTTTGTTAGGCACAGGAAACACCTGACATTTTTATATAAAAAGATACTATAAGCCAGGTGTGGTAGGTAATATATGCTTTAATCTCAGCACCCAGGAGACAGAGGCAGGCCTCTGTGAGTTCTGGGGCAGCATGGTCTACACAGTGAGACACTTCTCAAAGAGAGATAGCAGAGAGAGAGAGAGATACATACTTGCTGAATAATTTTTTTGACACAAGGCAGCGGAAGCCCCTGATAGTTAGACTTGATAATCCATTTGAGTAGATGATGGCCCAGAACTTCAAACACCATGCAAATATCTAGGAATTCATTAAGGAAGAAAAGGGAGGCAAGATGTGGACGCCAGCAAAATCAAACCATTTTTCTTCCCAGTCACAGAACTACCTTGAAAACACAAAGCTGTTGATGACAGGACAACACAACACAGACTGTGAGACAGGCCCGTCTGGGACGAAAACAGTGTACACTAAAGTACTCAGGGTGAAGGCAAAGACAGGTGTGACGTCAAACGGTCAAGCACCAGGCACGAGGGCAGACTAAGGCTTCTTCTAGAATGACTGGGATAATACTCCCACCCTCACAGGCTCAAAGTAAAAAAACAAAACCCACAACCTTCTTTAGCAACAGAGACAAAGTACAACAATTCACTGAAATGTGGGAAATGCTAACATGTTCTTTGCAGTGGTATGGAAGACAGCTAGTGTTTTGTGAGCGCCAAGTGCCCCAGCATTGGGCCACCCCTCCCCCAATATCCATGGTACTACTCTTCATGCCAGCACGCGGCACAAAGCACGATGCATGAGTCCTGCTGGCAGGGCAGAGGCTTGACAGCCTTGCTGGTGTGCCCACACCTGCCCTCTCACTGACTGGAAAGCCAAGCCTGGGCTCCTCACAGTGCGGCTGTGCAGCTTGGAGGAGCAACAAGAATCACCTTGCCACTGTTGACAGGATGGTGCTACTCACTACGTGGCCCAGACTTCCTTGACCTGGGGGTGGGTGAACGCAGCACCATTCTGAGGCATGTTATAAGTCAATACTGTACTTGAAAAAGAAAATGGATACAAATGCAGAGTTCAAGGAGGGGCAGAAGAAAGTCTTCTAGAGAAACAGTGGTAAGAAAAACACAGCATCCCTGTCTCCAGTCAGTGATGAGTGCTAAAAGCACCTGTAACCCTGACAAACCAATGTGGAGCCCTCCTCACAGATGACTGCCTATTTATGTGAGGAAAAGGCTGTTTCACGGCAGGGCACGACTCACAGCATCTGCTGCTGCAATGCGATCAAGAACACACATTCACAGTGCAATGGACAGAAACTGACTAACCTCAGAAAATAACCAGATAGACATAAATTTAGGGAAGAAACAAGCAGCCTTTATTTTTAAACAACCTTAGCCATCAGGGAACTATTTGCCTAATTCAAACACGAAACATTTGACAGTGGGCAAATGGGCAACAAGGGCAGTTGTCCCTGAAGAGGAAGTCTTGATAATCTCCTGGCAGACTCTGGACTGCAAGTCTGGGGAGTTCCAGGCAGCAACAACTCATAGAAAAGCTAGGGCACCATGGTGGAGGTTCACTGATGCTTTCCTTCCCCGGCATAGCGTGAGGAAATGGGGAGGCAAAGCACCAGGAGGCTGAGGGCAGGACAGTAACCAGTTCCTGCACCAGGTCTGGAGCACTACCCCACAAAAGACCAGAGAAATTCAGTCACAAGGTCTAGGATAAAATATTCAGAAAGAGCCAAGTGATGGTGGTGGTGTACGCCATGAATCCCAGTACCTGAGAAGAGAGAAGAGAGGGAGAGGCACTTCAAGGCCAGTCTGGTCTACAAAGCAAGTTCCAGGATAGGCTCCAGAGAAACCCGTCTCGAAAAACCAAAAAATATTCAGGAAGGTGCCAGGTGGCGGTAGTGGCACACATCTTTAATCCCAGCATTTGGGAAGCAGAGGCAGACATATCTCTGTAAGGTCAAGGCCAGTCTGGTCTACAGATTGAGTTCCAGGATTGCCAGGGCTACACAGAGAAACACTGTTTAAAAAAAAAAAAAAAGAAAAAAAATACATACATACATACATACATACATACATACATATATATATATATATATATAGAGAGAGAGAGAGAGAGAGAGAGAGAGAGAATATTCAGGAAGACCCTGACAAAATATAAAGGGAAATGGTCACTTCTGGACCAAGCACTATTTGGTCCAATCATAAAAAAGAGTATCTTAGAAGGATAAAACTAGCCAGGTGTTGGTGGCGCACGCCTTTAATCCCAGCACTCTGGAGGCAGAGGCAGGCGGATCTCTGTGAGTTCGAGACCAGCCTGGTCTACAGAGCGAGTGCCAGGATAGGCTCCAAAGCTACACAGAGAAACTCTGTCTCAAAAAACCAAAATAAATAAATAAATAAAAAGGATAAAACTATTCTCCAAGTAATACAATTGTATCCTAGAGTAAATTCCAAAGATTTATGGGAATGTCAACAATGTGTGTAGCACATACTAGGAAACAAAGGTGCAGGAAAATACCTACAAATAGTTTATCAATTGCTAGTCCGAATCCCTACCCGAAACTGACTCAGAACCACAGAGAATCAGAACCAGCAGGCAAGGATACGGGAAGCTCAAAACTCAAAAGTGAAGGATGCAGGTGAGCTTGGCGATGCTGGCACATGCATGCAGTGTCCCTGTGGTGCACCCTTGGCACCGTTTATACCAGACGCCGTGCTACACACCTGCAACCCTGGGACTCAGGCACAGGCGGGAGGATCAGAAATTTTAGTGTCATCTTTTGAGCTGAAGGCCAGCCGGGCATGTATATGTGAATACATGAGACACTGCTCAAAAAAGAAAAACAGAGAGAAAAAGTTAAAAAAAAAACAGTAGAAACCTGGACTGTAAGAAAAATAATCTCATTAATAAAGGGATGTTAACAGGTTGGTCCACAGGGAGTGAGTGCAAAGGCATCGGCTGCTAAGATTTGAATATTTGCAGGCTAAGTAGTGGGAAGCCAAGGCTTGATTCTTTAGAAGCATGGTCAGAATGAAAATAACCACTCATGACAGGGCTGCACCTGGTCTATTAGGAGTTGAGAACAGGACTGTCTAACAGACAAAATATCCGCCTAGTTTACTGTGAAGGGGACTGTGAGGTCTGAAGGACAGGGTAAGACTAAAGGAGGACACATGGCTATAGTTTTGTAGTAAGGGGCAGTGGATGTGTGCCCGAGTCACAGAGCATTACTGACGGGCCATAACTAACAGAAGGAGAAGCATGGTGAAGGAAGGGGCCGTCAGATAAGAGCCCACCTGCTCCAGCAAAAGAGATGGTGTCATCTGAGGAGTGGAGGACAAAAGGCTAGGGAAGACACTGCTGCTCAGATGGTGCCTGCCTGCATGGGAGAGCCCAGCCTGTAAGTGCTGATGGAACTTCAAGCAGTAAGACTCCAACCCTCGGGGCTCTGTAAGGGCAGAGCAAGCACAGCAACCGTCATTCTCCAGAGAAAGAGGCAGACAAAAACACAGCAGCTCCACTCAACTCCTACATAGCCGACTGTGGTCGAGACACTGTCCCCACAGGCTCACATCAGTCCCCATCTGGGCTGTCCAGGAAGGATTAGGAGCTTAGTCATGAGGGGAAGGCTTTGTTTCAAAAGCCCAAACCAGACCCAGAGTGTCTCTCTCTGAGGATTGTGGTATAAAGTTCTCAGCTACTTCTCCAGCGTCATGCCTGCCTGTGTGCCAACATACCCCCACCACTCTAAAAAAACCGACACCTTTGGCAAATGGTAACAGATAGAAAGTCACCCGATGCAGGTGGTACTGCTAGAGGCCTGGAAACGTTTGCAACACCAAATACACCAACAGGGAGCTGAAATTTCATCACACAAACACTGGCTGGTGCTGGCCAATTAACAAATGAGGGCTTGTGTTTGAATGACAGTTACTAAGGTGTCTATATCTAAAGAATGATGTAGACCAGATCAAAGGTCATGGCTAAGTCCTATTGGAAAATTGTAATACATAATTTATTCAATTAGCCCTATTTCCATTTGTAGGTTTTGTTTTATTTCCCTTCAACTTATGGCAGCTGAGATGAAATGTGACTGGTGTGAGACTGGGTCTTGGTGGTTGTCTCTCGGAATAGCGTCTGTGATTGGGCAGACAGCAGTGCCCTTCAGTGTATACTATGCCGACAACACTGGAAGAATATTCTGAGACATGGGGCTCACATTTAATGACCCAAGGCAGTCAATGTTGGGCTCTCTGAAGGAAGTAGTTCTAACTATGCAGACTGAATTGTGTGAGTAATTCATGAGGTGAGATGCCATTCCACAGCCTCACAGGATGTTGACAGCAGACGGTTATTTGTTAGCATTCTTATTGTTACTAGAATCATTCAGAAAATGACAAGGAAAGTTAAAGGGAGTGCGACCAAGCAAAAAGGGAAAGGAGAATGTAGTGAGCACGTCTTCACAGACTGAAGCGGACTCTGTGAGTCTGTATAGCGAGTTTTGGGTCAACCAGGGCTGCATAGTGAGACATGAAGCTTGAATATTTCCTTTTGATTTTGTGTGACAATTGAAGCACATGTCTAAATGCTAGAAATAGTTTTATAAACTATCCTTTTCTTTTTTGAGACAGAACTGTCCTGGCACTCGCTCTGGAGACCAGGCTGGCCTCAAACTCTCTCAGAGATCCACCTGCCTCTGCCCCCAAGTGGTTGGATTAAACGTACTTGCCACCATGCCTAGCCAAAAAAAATCTAATTAAAGCTGTATTTTTACCTATTGTCAGTTTTATTGGTGGTAAACACTGGAAATAGCAGGGGGAAAAAATCCCTAAAAAGTTGAAAGTTTTAATTGTGTCAGTGGAGTTTCAATTATGAATGGTGACACACACCTTTTGTTTTTGTTTTTTGAGACAGGGTTTCTCTGTGTAGCTTTGGAGCCTATCCTGGCACTCGCTCTATAGACCAGACTGGTCTCAAACTCAGAGATCCGCCTGCCTCTGCCTCCGGGGTGCAGCACATGCTTTTAATCCCAGCACTCGGAAGGCAGAAAAAGGTGGAACTCTGTGAGTTGAGGCCAGCCTGGTCTACAAAGTGAGTTCTAGGACAGCCAGGACTACACACAGAAACCCTGACTTGACCCCCACCACCAGAAAAAAAATTACTTTGGGCCTTCCAAATGGCTCACTGGCCTGGATTAGGGCTGGAAAGACACTTGCTACCAAGCCTGATGAGTTCAAGCCCCAGTTCCCTATGGTGGAAAGAACTTACTCCTCCATAGAATGTCATGACATTTACATGTCTGCACATGCAATAAATAAAGTCAATTTAAAGTTACTAGGTTGAGTTCCGTGGGTAGAATGACGGCAGTAGCAGCCACCTGCTAATTTTAGATAGACAAGTACACATACGGGTATGTGCTGCTAAGATAGTGCTTGGGAGTAAATAGGCCTGAAGGGGCTGGCTCAACAGTTAGGAGCACTGGCTGTTTTTCCAGGACCTGGATTGATTCCTAGCTCCCACAAGGCAGTTAATATCCCTCTGTGAGGCTAGTCCTATGGGATCTCCATGGGCACCACACGACATATACATACAAGCAGGCAAAACACATTCACATTAGAGGGGCAGAGCATGGAGGGCCCACAGATACAGAGAACTACTCTACTGCTTTAGTGGGTACTGAGCAATCGGTTCTAGATTTTCTTCTCAGTGCATCACTTCCACTGTGAGCATGGCTGGCTGTGGCTCACTGCATGTCACGTGTACCGAACCCTAAAGATTTTAAAATTTCTTCCAAATCTAAACTTAAGACTTGTTGAGTGCCTTCTTCTGACAGGACGCAATCACTCCATTTAAATTCTCTAGTGTTTAATCTTACTTTAAGTGTATGTTGTTTTGTATGTATGTATGTATGTATGTATGTATGTATGTATGCATGCATGCATGCATGCATGTATGTATGTATGTATGTACGTATATGAGTAGCTGACCACATGAGTGTAGTGTCCAAGAGACCAGAAGCAGGCACTCACTACACCTGGGATTACAGGGGTTTGTGAGCTGCCATGTGGGTGCTGGGAACTGAACCTGGATCTTCCTGGAGAGCCATGAATAGAATTCTTATCCCCTGTCCCTTTGCCAGCCCCCATTTAAGTTCTAAGCATCCACGACACACCCAGTTCACAGTACCTTTACTAACGCTTGATGAAACAAAAGTACCTTAAAATTCTTATATAGCATTATTTTTCATGAAAAAAAAAAAAAATGTGATGGCTGTGAACGGAGGATTTCCATTCAAGAACAGCCTAGACTACATAGTGAGGTCAAAGTCAGGGCTACATGGTAAGTCCTTGTCTTTATTTAAAAAAAAAAAAAAAGCACATCCCTTAAAATTTTCTGTGCTCATCCCTAAAAAGTATAGGACCTTTATTTAATAACCACAAAGCTACACATTGTTTTTAGATCTTGATGTTCCTGAAAAGGGGAATGAGTATATTCTCAAGAGGACACAGAAATAGCCATAACTGGTGCCTGTGTCTTGAAGCCCAAAACAAAGAAAATGAGTTTATTACTATTTACCTCCAACAAGGACACAGATTCGAGCATACAAACCTGCATCTTTCTTTGGCAATGAATTATCCCCTGGTTGATTAAGAATAAGATAACTTGGTGACTCAGTGCTTGCTGACTGATCAACTGCTATGTCCTTTATCCTGAGTTCCATCCACAGAGCCCATGCAGGAAGAGAGCTATTTTCTGACACACACACACTCTCTCAATAAAACTGAGGGCTGGAGAGATGGCTCAGTGATCGAGAGCACTGACTGCTCTTCCAGAGGACTTGGGTTCCATGTCCACACCCACATGGCAGCTCCCAACTGTCTGTAATTCCAGTTCCAGATGATCAGACACCCTCTTCTGATCTCTGCAGGCACTGTGCACATGTGGGGCACACACATACATGCAGGCAACACATTCATACACACAATTTAAAAATAATACAATTGAAATTGAATTCTTAAAGGATACGTGTTCCATTAACACCTGATATTTTAAAGTCATCCAGAAGCTGAACAACCATTTCTCCATTTGGATCATTCGGGTCTGAATTACGAACCTGTATTGGGAAGAATCCATGTTAGCACAAGTGGAGCAATCCAGGGAAGTTACTGCTGTTACCCAGTTCACCACAGAAAGGAGAAGACAGGTAAGATAAACTTGTGTTTCCAGGTAAACCCAATCAAAGACACTAGACTTGTTCTAGGTCAGGGGTTCTCAACCTATGGGTCACAGCCCCTTTGTTAAACCTCTATCTCCAAAATATTTACATTATGATTTGTATGAGTAGCAAAATTACAGTCATGAAGTAGCAACAAAAATAATGTTGACGTTGGGGGTCAGCACAACATTTACAATTGTAGAAGGTTGAGAACTGCCGTTCTAGGCTGTGTTTCTTTAGATAGTCTTACTGTGCAGCCTTGGCCAGCTTCTAACTCAAGAGATCAGCATGCTCTCTGCCTCCCAAGTGCAGGGTGTAAGGGCGTGCACCACCACACCAGGCAGGCTACGTTTTTATAACATGAAGCGGGTACTACAAACGGATGAACTTTTCTTTTGACACTCTTAGCAGTGCTGTGTGTCACATACAACATGCACACTTGATAAATGCTAACCACTGCATTTATCAATGCCTATAACATGCAGGAAACAAATATCTTCCTCTATGGCTCCAAGGAGCCCCTGAGTCTGCACTAGCCCTAGTCTACGTGATGCTGAGACCTGGCAGAGGCACCATGGCCACATGGTGACCTCAAACTTACCGATTTCAGCAGTCGGATTTCATCTAGTGCCGTTTCTGTGTAATGTTCAGCACTTTTAACTACTTTCATTGCCACAAACTTCTTTCCCCTAAAAAAAACAGACAATTCAGACTAAATTATCTGACCTTCACCTTTATAGCTAAAAGTCTAATGGTAACTGAGAAAATGAAGACTATTGTGCGTCTAAGAGTGGCACAAACTGAGCTAAAAGAAGCCATGCCAGGCAATCTCAGACACTGGACATCTTCTGAAGTTAACGTCCACCTTCTGATTACGGGAACAGCTAAAAACTACACCACAGTTAAGAAAATGTTACAGTAAAATAATTTTTCATTGGTCAGTCTAATTACCTGGAAATTTAACTTTAAACCAATGATTTTCTATTATGCAGCATTAAATATGTGTACAGACTTGAGCCTGGCAGTGCCACCAGCTTTACTGACATTGATTTAGTCCATCTCTTGCCTCAGTGGTGCAGACTGGTAAGCTGACCATGCCTCTGCAGGAACTTGTGTCATAATGAAAGCCAATATGTGTAATTAGCATGTGAATGCTAACTATGAAATAAAAAGAAACTTAAAAAAGGGAATCAACCTAGAGACAGACCTAGATCATCTCTTAGAAGTCAGAAACATCAAGGTTTATCTAATTCCTTCCCAGAGCCACATAAACTTACTGAATATCCCATGATAACCACACTGTTGAAAAGTGTCCCCAGCCCAACTTTCGGATCACATGGTATCTCCCGTTAAATAGATCTCCGATTTTCACAAGATGATAACCTCCTGGAAAAGATGGGGGTAATCAGAGGAACCAGGACAAAGCGCTCTCTCCTGCAGCAGTCACACACCATTTACTAATATCTTTGAGATCAGTTCAACATGAGACCCTTCCTTCAAAGCTACTGTTGTCACTCAGCTCTCTGTGAGGTCACAGCCCACAATATTTCGGGTCCCTCCAAAACCCAACAGATCTATTACAAAACAAATACTGGCCATCTCACATAAATGTTTAAAGGAAGAATAATAATACCATTGATTTAACTGAAAATCAGAAATCAGTAAGATCTGTTCTTCTAGATATAGGCCAACATGGGAGTTCCAAGCCAGCTACACAACGAGACCCAGCCCTGTCCTCCCTATCAAAAACAAACAAACAAAAAAAACAAAAATAACAAAAAAACAAAAAATAACAAAAAAAAAAAAAAAAAAAGAAAAAGAAAAAGGGAAGCAACAGAGAGGGCTACCTCAGGTACACAGACAATGCTTGCTGGGAAAAGGTCCACATTCTCCTAGTCAGCACAGAGATTCTCTACGCTGTCTATCCTAAAGACGAGGGGAGGCTCACCAGAAACACAGGGCAGCTGGATCTGATTGCCCAGTTACACTCAGCTGCCATCACCATGAGAAAAAGTATTTTTAAAAACCTATGTACTGGGGCTGGAGAGATGGCTCAAAGGTTAAGAGCACTGACTGCTCTTCCAGAGGTCCTGAGTTCAATTCCCAGCACCCACATGGTGGCTCACAACCATCCGTTATGAGATCTGTCTGCAGAAAAAAGGAGGGAGGGGGTGGGATTGGTGTGTAAAATTATGTACCAGCTGAATGTGGTGGTGCCCGCCTACAATCCCAGCACACAAGGCCAGCTGTAGCAGTCAGTGTACCTCACCTCTGACATTTTCAAAGGTAAACATGGACTGCTACTTTCAAAGGGGAAAAAAGATTTATCTTTTCCTAATTTTCATTTGTTTATTTTGGGAGACAGGGTCTATCTACATAGCTCTGGCTGTCCTGGGACTCAATCTGTAAACATGGCTGGCCTTGAGCTCATAGAGATCTGTCTGCCTCTGCCTCACGGCTGCTGGGATTAAAGGAGTGCACCACCCTGCCTGGCCTGGAAAAAGATTTTTTTTTTTTTAAAGGGGCTGAGTGCAGGAGGTCCCTGATTAGTAACTCCATGTATGACCGTAGCACTGCCAACGAGTTTAAAACTTAATATAACTAGGGGCTGGAGAGATGGCTCAGCAGTTAAAAGCACTGGCTGCTTGCTCTTCCCGAGGACCTGAGCTCATAACCGTCTGCAACTCCAGTTCCAGGGGATCTGGCACCCTCACACAGATAAACAAGCAGGCAAAACACCAATGCACATAAAATAAGAACATTTAAACTT